AAAAAAGCTAATATGTGGCCCGGAAGGGGAAATAGTGGTGGCTCATGGCCGCCTGCCTTCCCCCGCTCATCTGGGACCAGATTTGATGAAAAGGAAGACATAATTGAACCGCGTACAGGTGGTTGAACTATGTCTCTTCAGCTGCGAAAGAAGCGGTTTAGCTACGTGTGCGCTATTAAATTCGGACCCTGAATGATTATAGATGTCAAAATACTCATCGAGAAAAATTTGAATAAAAAAACATATTTTTTCAAAACTATTTAATATAATTTAATATATTGTGTTTTTGAAATAAAGTGAAATGTTTCTAAAATCCACGAGATATATTGTCAAATATAGAACATAAATTATATACATTGTCTCCGTTTCTCCACAAAATATGTTTTATTTCCAGAAACAATTCCAATTGATTTATTTCCTTTATTTTCAACAGTTTTCAACCATTTCAAGCAGTTCAAGCAGTTCAATGAATTATCAAAAATAAATTCAATTAACCTTCTTCACCTACTATGATACTAAACTGAGTCTGAATTAGCCAAAACTAAGAAACTTGCAGTGTAATAAGACCTTAACAAAGTATACATGATTCAGCTATTTGAAAAGGCTAAATCTAGAAATATGTCTAATGTAAACCTTAAATCTTACAAAACAAAAATGATTTCTGAAAAAAAATCTATAGATTTAGAGCCAAATCCTAAAAAGAAATTGAGTCTCTGTCACTAAATCAAATTTTCTAATCCCTATATCTTAGCAACCTGATGGTGTAAACCTTTTATATTTCAAACTTAGATTATTTGATCTAACAGTTTAAAATGTCTAAGGCCTACGGAATTGGACTGAAAAAAATATGGATTAGAAAATCAGAGTTTGTGGCAAAGACTCAAATTCCTTAAAATCCTTCAAGAATAGCAAGAAAAGTATTTTGACGCATTTCTTATCTATCGGAATTGAACAGTCCATGTTTTTGTTTGTATCAGCAAAGAAAGAAAGAGGGGTTTCTAAAGAAAGACGATAAAAACAAACTTAAATTCTGAAAAACTGAACGAGGCTCAATGACTCACAAGTAATTTGATCCCTTGCTTCAATTCTTTGTGCTCCTTGTGTATACCTATACACTCACAACACACTAGACACAAGTACACACACAACTCAACAATGTTTTCATGTTTTCTGTTGGGTTTTGTTCAGGATTCTCCAGGTTTTGTCAGGGATTAGTTTTTACTCCATCTATCGTGTCAGGCACTGAAGAAATAGGTCCTAGGTCATGTTAGAATATCAAGGGGTAGGGGTGACTATTGTACAAAAGGGGGTTCCGAAATGATGAAAATCTTCACTTATGTCATAATGTAAACTCAAACTTTATACAATTAGTATGTTTTATCAAGGAATCAATTACTTTTTAAAGACTTAAACATAAGTTAAGATCTGATAAAAACGAGATTAGTGACATTTACTAATTTTACATATTTGTCCATATCTTGACAAGAAATACTAAAGACATAAACTAATCAAATTAAAAACAAAAAATATCGTTGTCAATTTAACTTTTAGAGTAATCATCATCTTTGTTCTGTAAATGCTAAATTCACTGAACCATTACTTTATTTTATCTGTAATTAACTAATTTGTGTTGGGTTTAATCTTTTCAAAGAACTGGTATATTCATGTTATTAAGCCAGGTTTTTATTACAATAATATTTTAAAAAGTATAAAGCTGTAATATTGTTGAATCATGTTATCCGTGCTATACCATTCAGTGCTACAGATTAACTCCCGGTTTGTTTTGGAGTTCAACATCTTACAAAAATATATTGTAAAAATATTGTAAAAAAAAAGGTAAATAATAAAATGGTGGTGTTTTTACATATTGCACAAATATAATATGATAACCAGGATCTGTTTTAAAACTGAGATTTTCATAAAAGTCTAACTTTGGATTTCTAACTAAGCTAAGAACAACATTCTGCCAAGTTTCCTTATCAAAATTTGAGGCAAATCGGTCAATGGGTTGTTCAATTGTAACCGGACTTACAACAGACAAACAGAGTTTAATACTTTATATGAGATCACTTAGTTATGATATATGTAATCTCATAAATCTCATATTATGTTGATTAAATACTTTATATGAGATCACTTAGTTATGATATAAGTAATCTCATAAATCTCATATTATGTTGATTAAATGTTTAAATAGACAAACCGACAAAGGAACAAACACATTAAACACAGTAAACTTCTTTCTAGTTTGAAATCTTAAATGTTTTCGAACACAACTCCATGCTCATGAAGAGCTTTTTATAAATGGAACAAACCAATTTTTCGTAATCGTCGTAGAAGTTTTTCACAAAGAAGGGGTTTATATTTTGTTACAAATTTTCAGGTAAAATGTATTAAAAAGTTGAAGTTCCAGTTTTCATTCTTTAATCCAAATTTTTATTACCAGTGTGTNAATTGAAAAATGTATTTAAATTTATGGACTAGACAAAACTATATGATGTAAACCTGGCATATTTGTAATTATACAAAAACATATCATTTAGCTTAACATAAACTTTTTATATGCTACTCAAATCTTGGAAACGACCAATTTCAAGCCGCCGCAGAGAGAATTGGGGCCAATTAAGAAAAGAAATGTTTAACTTTGCGAAGTTTGAGGGTTTTTCATTTCTAGTTTTTGTGTCACTCTTTACATGGAGGATTAACTGAAATTGCACGCACAGACCCTTTAATACAATCTTTTTGATGAATAATACCTGTATTGTACTGAGAAGAGGGTCCTCTCCCTTGGACATCAAACTAGAAGCTTGCTGCAGTACACTCTACAATAATAATACATTATGCAGTACACTCTACAACAATAATACATTATGCAGTACACTCTACAACAAGTATACATTATGCAGTACACTTTATAACAATAATACATTATGCAGTACACTTTACATCAATAATACATTATGCAGTACACTCTACAACAATAATACGTTATGCAGTACACTTTACATCAATAATACATTATGCATACACTTTACAACAATTCTCATCCTTTGTGGGTAACCCTGTATAAAGTGTAAATGCCTATTTTTTCTGCAAAACCAATTACAAGATGGAATCTAGTCTGTGCAAAACAAATAATATATTAAACATCTAATCATTGTTTGTGTCAAGCCAAGGGTAATTAACAAGTAAAAACATAATTAGCACCCGGCGATTTCTAGAGACATTTTAGGGGGAGGGGGTATCATCTAGAGGCCTTTTTAGGTGGGTATATTCTGAGGAATGGCAAGTGGGGTACGGGAAGTAAAGGGGGGTATATGACTGATATGATGGGAAGTGGTTGTGAGCGAGGGAGGGGTTCCTACATAAATATCAAATCCCTTGATTAAAAACGATTTAACTTTTCATTTAAGGGTTGAAAATGAAATCTTTAGGGAAATGATGGTCATGGATTTACCATGCTTTATCCCTGAAAGAGTGCTTCATTATTAAAGTTAGGAAATAGATTTTTAGGTTTTCATGAACATCTTTTAAAGATTATGGAAAAATATCTGTAAACTTGCAAATCTATGGATTCCCATGGTAAATAAAAACTATATACACAAAATGTCAAAAACAGTAAAATAACATATTAGGCTAAACCCTGTATGAGACAAGGAAAATCTTAAAATAACATTTTAACAAACAAACTAAACAAACAAATAATTTGTTTCTATGTAAACAAATGTGAAAATATAACTGAAATCATGCTATATTGTAATATTGCAAAGTTTAAAGTTTGCGGACGCAGTTTGAAAATATGTATTTTGCATTTTGACATATGCACATGAGTATTCAAAGACAACTTTAAGTTAATTTTTTATCTAAAAATTTATTTATGTGCATTTAAAATTAAGTACTTACAAATTTGGTCAGCAATTTGCATCTTAAAGTGTATGTATACAATTTCTGTGAAAAAAAAAGAAAAAATCATTACAGTAATTAATTAAAATTACGCCTATTTGTTACATTATTTATTTATTGGGAAACTCTGCACTAGAAAATATTTTTGCAATCCTACGGTAATATGAAAATACATTTACTGGGATTTGAAATAATGACAGAGAGCCTACCCTAGGTTCATTAAACCTACCCTGAGTTTATGGAACCTACCCTGAGTTCATTAAACCTACCCTGAGTTTACGGAACCTACCCTCAGTTCATTAAACCTACCCTGAGTTTACGGAACCTGCCCTGGGTTTATGGAACCTGCCCTGAGTTTATGGAACCTACCCTGAGTTTATGGAACATACCCTGAGATTACGGAACCTACCCTGAGATTACGGAACCTACCCTGAGTTTACGGAACCTACCCTGAGTTTACGCAACCTACCCTGAGTTTATGGAACCTACCTTGAGTTTATGGAACCTACCCTGAGATTACGGAACCTACCCTGAGATTACGGAACCTACCCTGAGTTTACGGAACCTAACCTGAGTTTACGCAACCTACCCTGAGTTTATGGAACCTACCCTGAGTTTATGGAACCTATCCTGAGTTTATGGAACTTACCCTGAGTTTATGGAACCTACCCTGAGTTTATGGAGCTCTCTCTCCTGTTTGATAATCTCGTTGTCCCTCCTGACCAACCTCCTCTGCAGGGACTTCACCTCCGTCTCCAACATACTCGTCTTACTCTCTACAATAAATAGAAGAATTAATTATTTATAATTAATGAAATAATCAATTTTTAATGTATCTACGATTTACATAATGGTTAAAAAAACATGATTAAAAGTATGATCAAAGTCTGAATTTAATGAATTTGAGCCGCGTCTCAAATCCGCCAAAAACTGGTTTCAATTGAGCGCCGGCTAAAATCTTGAAACATTGAATACAATTTTAAATGGAACCAACCATATTTGAGCCGCGTCTCAAATTTAAGCCGCTGCTCAAATTCTTTAAATTCGGCCTAAGATCAGATCCGATTAGACTTTCAGGGATGTGTCATGTTCATACTTAAGGCTTAAAATATTTATCCTAATATTCATAAATTCCAACATAATAATTTGCTAAGATTTTTAAATCATTTTTATATGTAATTTGATAAATATGTTTCAAAATATTTAGATATGTTTATTGCTTATTATACATGATCATCTAATGTAAATATTATCAACAAATAAATCTTTTCACCCAAACTATCATGGATTTCACAATCAATAACCAAATTAAAACTGTTATTGCATCTTAAAGCCAATTAAACTTACGGAATAAAAAACTAATTAATTACACATCTTATCTTATCTTAATTATGGCCGGCGGACTATTATTCCTGACACAAAACGAATTAAGAATTTATTATATACTCAAAGTAGCAGTAAACCCTTAATTCTGGATGCATGCAGCGCTCACTGAGCTGCGTAGGGATAAAAATGCTGGTATGAAAAAAGTGCCAAGGAAAGTGGGGGATGAGGGGGGTTATGAAGGGGTAGGTTGAGGTTAAAGGCGAATAGTCTTCAATCTTAAAACGCATACATTGGATTTGTTTATGTTTTTGTTCTTGAACTGATGGATCTATTGGCCTGGTTGCTGACAGCCTGATTTATTAACTGATTGATGCAAAATCTGCAAATCCGCTCACTGATAAACTGATTTTTCCGTGTGGAGATTGTCAATCAACTTTAAGTGCCATAATCAATTCACAATCATACTGATTGGGATTCAATTCCTCAAAAGTTTTATAACAGTGAGCTCACTTTCTGAAAAGTGGCAAAATTTCAGTTTTTCAGATTGAAAAAAAAGTTTTAAAAGCACTTTTATGAATTTTTTCTGACAGTTGATAAATAAAAGTCACTTAAAATTTTATGAACACTCTTTTTAAGTAATATTTTGTATTTTTAAACAAAAAACATTTAACCCAAATTAAATATTCTTGTATCATCCAGCCACATGTTTGCTAGTTTTTCAAATTATTTCAATATGTTGAACTGTTCAAGTGTAAACTCCCTCCCTTTCCCCCTTTCCCATCCCTTCCCCCTTTCCCCTCCCCCCTCTCCCCTCCCCTCCCATCTCGATTCTCTGAATCGTATCTAGGCTTGCCACACGAATGTCAAAATTTCTTTTAGAGTACATTTATGCATTCAAGTACTTTTGAAATATTTTCTATCTTTAGAGTACATTTATGAATTCAAGTACTTTTTAAATATTTTCAATGTTTAGAGTACATTTATGCATTCAAGTAATTTTTAAACCATTTATACCCTGATTTATTCATTTTTCTTACGACTATTGCTCCTGTTTAAATCCTAGTCAATATTTCTTTTTTTTCTTCCTAACCACCTATTCTCCTGTTTCCTAGCCATCTTTTCTCCTGTTTTCTCAACACCTTTATTCCTGTTTCCTCAACACCTTTATTCCTGTTTCCTCAACACTTTTACTTCTGTTTCCTCAACACCTTTACTCCTGTCTACCACACATCTTTGCTCCACTTTCCTAACCTCCTTTTTTCAAATCAGCTTTATTTCTGTTTCCTAACGACATTTACTCCTGTTTCCGAACCACCTTTGCTTCTGTTTCCTAACCTCCTTTATTCAAATCAGCTTTATTTCTGTTTCCTAACGACATTAACTCCTGTTTCCGAACCACCTTTGCTTCTGTTTCCTAACCTCCTTTATTTCTGTTTTCAAACCAATTCCTTTTTCCTTACAACACTTGCTCCCGGTTTCTACCCACATTAAAGCTCCTGTTTCACAATTGAACTTACTCCTGAGTCCTGTTTCCTAAAAAAATCAAACATATTCCTTATACTTAACCAGAGGTACATTAATTTCAGTTTTCTAAACACCTTTTCTCCTATTCCCAAACTATCTTTTTTCCCCTGTTTCCAGTTTCCAAGACAAAAAGAAGATAAACAATTATATATATTCCTAATTTCAAACCAGAGCTACAGTATAATTATATCTCCTAATTCTGGTTCCTAACCATTATAGCTCTGTTTCCTGTTCTTTTAACTCCTGTTTTGTAACCCTTGTTTCTCGGGTTTGATGATATGTTCCTGCTTACTAGTAAGATATAATCTGATTTGCTATAAACTAGACAGAAAAGATTACGAAGTGGGTGAAATAATATATAATGTAGGGCAGCCAAGTAAACTTGGCCTTGTACATACACATATCTTATACAATATAATAACCATCTATTTAGGTATTCAATATTTGTATATCTAAGTTTACATTCTGTAATATATACATACAAATGTACATGTAAATACTACCATGTACACAGTCAAGTGACGCCAATATCCAATGAACTCTTACCGTCCATAACCTTCACATCTTTGTAGGAATGTGATTTCTCGAAAAAAAAGACCTTTTAAGCCGGCGCTCGATTAAAACCGGTTTTGGGGGGATTTGAGACCCGGCTTAAATTTATTTGATCGGTTCAGCAGTGCTGATGTGTATTGAATCCAATAAAAGCCCAAAATACGTTTTTCTGTTAGACTTAAAGAAAATGCAATCTATTTTTGCTAAACCACAATTTAGATAAAACTTTCGGATTTATGGAAAATGTTCGGTATTTTATGGACCTACTTCAGCCTTAATAAAATTTCTCAAAGAAAGATAAAACTATATAGATATAGTTTCTATATTTGTAACCTTATACAGATCTACCTACTATAAGAGATTTTAAAGATTTCAATATAAAACAGTTTTAAAAATATTATAATGGAAAATACTAATTTTTTGGCCATTTTTGTTTTCTGAATTCAAATTAGCACAGCCTGACACTAGACAGAGTGTGTGTCAGTGTTGCATTCATGCATATCATTTAAATCTTCATATACAATGGAATGTGGAAATTATATTAAAAATCGCAAAAGCAATTTTCAGCAAATTGAAATTCGACATTTTTAAAATACAATTTCGAGCTTTTTACTATAAAATATAGGGGACATTTTCGAGGAGGAATAAATATAATTCAAACCATATTATTCTTTACAATATAAAATAATGTAGGTCACACTGTTTGCTAGAAGGGATGGAAGGGTGGAAGAGTAAAAGGAGGAGGGGGGAGGGTGGAGGGGGAGGGGTTGGTTTGCCGTGGGCAAAGAAAAGGAAGTATGGAGGTCGAATGGGGGAGAGGGGGAGGGGGTGGTATGGTTTAAAAACAAGAACAAAAAGTCTGAAAAATGACAAGGATCATTTTCAAGCATATAGATGTAGGAGGAAGCAGAAATCGAGTTCAGCCATAATACAAGGACAGGAGGAATATCAGTGCACCAAGGGGGGTTTCTTGGATCAGGGAGGGGGCTTAAAGCTCAGAGAAGGGGGTTTAATGTTAAGGAAAGTGGGCTATAAGTATTCACACTTGTATGCCGAGTCCATTAGCGCCTGATCCAGTCAGGGTTCAGTCATGTGTTTGGTGTCTATTCTGAACCAATAGAAATTGCATAGCGGTAGCATAGCATCTATCTTTCTATCTATCTCATCAACCTATTAGAGGTAAATCCTTCTATCGCGCTATAACAGTAAATGGAAATATTTACTTCTTCTGGAAATATAGTAGAGTGGGGGTCTTAAGGCTCAGAGAAGGAGGGTTAAAGCTCAGAGAGGATGGTTTTAAAACTAAGAGAAGGAGGTTTTAAGGCTAAAAGAGGGAGGTTTTAAGGCGCAGAACGGGAGATTTTAAGGCTCAGAGAGGTAGGTTTTAACGCTAAGAGAGAGATTTTTTATTATTCAGAGAGGGAAGTTTTAAGGCTTAGAGAGGGGATTTCAACGCTCAGGGAAGGATGTTTTAAGGCTTAGAGGGGGAGGTTTTAAGGGTGAGAGAGCGAGGTTGTATGGCTCAGAGAGGGAGGTTTTAAGGCTCAGAGAGGGAGGTTTTAAGGCTCAGAGAGGAAGGTTTTAAGGGTCAGAGAGGAAGGTTTTAAGGGTCAGAGAGGGAGGTTTTAAGGCTCAGAGAGGGAGGTTTTAAGGCTCAGAGAGGAAGGTTTTAAGGCTCAGAGAGGAAGGTTTTTGCGTCCTAGAGAGGGATTTTTAAGGATATAAGAGGGGGTTAAAAGGCTCAGAGAGGGAGGTTTTCAGACATAGGGAGTTTTTTTAGCTCAGGGAAAGTAAATGAAGATAATAGCCTAATAAATATGAAGAAGGACAGATTGAAGAGGAAAAAGGAGTCCTAGAAGAAAGGATGTGGGAGGGGTTGAGATAGATTAAGGTTGTCTAATATTATTAGGTTTTTAGATGAATTATTAACAAGGTTTGTCTTGAGTTATAGCTCTTTAATGATGGTTGTGCTTGAAATAACTCATTTTGCTGCGCAAGCTAAAACGCGGAAATGATTGAGAATACAAATATCTAATTCTTTTTTCTTTGTTTAAGATTAAAACAATGCGAATTGTAAAATCATATTTATTAATTATGAAAACCATGAACCATGAATTTCATGAAAATTAATCAATCATCCTTTTACAGAGGCGTCGGCAGTAGACAATGCACATGCGCGCTTAGGAAGAGGGGGTACACCATGGAAGGGGAGGGAGGAAACAGTACAGGGAAGGGCGAATATATGACATAAAAGGGGAAGGGGAATACAGTTCGGGAGAAAGGGGAGTGGGAATACACTAAACAAAAAAAGAGTGTGTTGGGGGGGGGGGGGATAAAAGATTGTTGATAAAGCTAAGGTTAGTGGCAGGTTAGAAAAATGCAGGTGCATCTTAAGTTTAATGCATTCAAGGAAATATTTTTGTAATAAGAAAAAAATGGTGAGAAACAAACACAAACTTTGCACTTAGGACTGTATGAAGGATGCACCGTTGAACAAGCGTATTGTTTGAATAAATAAATGCAGTATAATGGCGTTTAATATGCGTAAAATTGTGATTTACGCAAAAACGAAGACTAGGCCTGGAAAATATGCGCAATTTGCTGTTAATATTTGCACGTATTTGTGCAGAGGAAGACAGGAAGAAGTTCTTGGAATTCTGGCGCAATTTCCCCAAATGCAAGGTTTAAATGTGCAGGAGGAGGAAGGGGGGCCGAGGGGGGGGGGGTTCATCCTTATAAATATTGACGAATATAAAAAATAATATTTTTATAAGGGGAACAATCATATGAATTGTATATTTGTAACTAGATACCCTTGCCATGGCAATGAAATCTGATCAGAAGTGTCATAAATATATTTTTGTGTAAATAGATAAAATACACAGATCACAACACAAAACTAAAATATCCGCTTTCGGAGAAAATTAATCAGTTTAATAATCAGAAAACTGAGCATATTGGTTGGAATTAACTATTAAAGGGATGAGTGGTTGGATGTTGTAGAGGAAAGTAGTTGTTTGAATTTAAGATTGGTTTGGTGGTTAGGTGAATTTAAGATTTGGTTGATTGGTTATTCAAATGTAAGATTGGAGGGTAATGTGAATATAAGATTGGTTGGTTGGTTCTTCAAACGTAAGACTGGGTGGTTGTATCGTAAGGTGAATTTCAGATTGGATGTATGGTTTGTTGAATGTGAGATTGATTAGTTGGTTATTCAAATGTAAGATTGGTTGGTCTTTTATTCAAATGTAAGATTGGATGGTAATGTGAATGTAAGATTGGATAAATGGTTTGTTAAATGTAAGATTGATTATTTGGTTATTAAAATGTAAGATTGGTTGGTTGGTTTATTCAAATGTAAGATTGGGTGGTTATGTGAATGTAAGATTGGTTGGTTGGTTCTTCAAACCGTAAGACTGGGTGGTTGTATCGTAAGGTGAATTTCAGATTTGATGTATGGTTTGTTGAATGTGAGATTGATTAGTTGGTTATTAAAATGTAAGATTGGTTGGTCTTTTATTCAAATGTAAGATTGGATGGTAATGTGAATGTAAGATTGGATAAATGGTTTGTTAAATGTAAGATTGATTAGTTGGTTATTAAAATGTAAGATTGGTTGGTTGGTTTATTCAAATGTAAGATTGGGTGGTTATGTGAATGTAAGATTGGTAGGTTGGTTTCTTCAAATGTAAGATTGGATGGTTAGGTGAATGTAAGCTCAGTTGGTTAGTTATTCCAATGTAAGATTGAATGGTTAGGTGAGCGTAGAATTGTATGTTAGCTGCGTTAGCTGGAATCTGTATAAATAATAATTTCACTGCATTAATTTCTCATTATTACCCTGTAAGGAATGTTTATCGTGATCAAATTTGTTTGTTTAACTCCCCAATGGGCTGAGGTAAAAACCTATATATTGGTTTAAGAAATAGTCTACTTAGCGCTCCACCCTTCTCTACTCCCACATACTCCAGGAGTAATCAACCCTATCCAACCTAAACCTCTGCATCTTTCAGGGACTGTCTTGTAAATTCAAGTGATCCTCCATGCATGCCTGATTCCCATCATCATTCTGATCAATCATTTTGAAGATAACCTCGCTTTTCTTGCCTAAAAAGGGTTCAATGCTAACAATTTTCCTCCTTAGATTTGTAGAAGAAATCCGCAAAACACCTTGAAATAGAAACCACGCTTGAAAAAATCTATTTAAAAAAACATGGATATCTTATTTTGTTCTTGATCATAGAAAGCTTTAAAGGGTACCGTTGTGAATCAGACTCTAATTAATGGAAAATCACTACATCACTACACTAGTTCTACATTATTTTTATTTTGTTTCACTTTTTCTGTTCAAATGCTGATTTTAGATTCTAAGCAAAAAAGAACATAAAATTAAGATTTTAAAGTAAACACAATTTTCTGATAATCATACCTAACACAATTTAACATTTTTGGATGCAACTGAAAATACGAGTTAAAAATTATAACTTGTTTGAATGTTAAACAATTTTTTTTTACAAATTTGGTTTAAAAGTTACGCATATCATTAAACTTATGATCATCAAATTGTTTTGATTCAGATTTTTCTGACAATTGCTTTTATAACTAAAAATTGTCCTTATTAATTTGTTCAAAAACTGTGGGTTTTAGACAAAATTTTATCGAAATTTTCATACAGTAAATAGGAGATAGAAACCGGAAACTGAGGTACTTTTAGAAAATTGAAAAACATTTTAATCTTAAATTGAAAAGTACAAAATTGTTGTTAACACTTGATTGCGGAAACCATTTTATATTTAAAGAATAGGATTCAACTCATAAAATTGCAAAACAGGTTTATGCAAAATTCGAGAAAAGTATTTTCAAATAATGTGCCCTAAATCAATTCAATTAAAGAACATGAAAAGTCAAAACGTTGAAATAATGTCCAAATAGGACTAAGTTAATAATGGCGATAAAATAATAATAGATTATCTAGATTTTATGATCGCAAACCGAATAACCCTCCCCCCTCCCATTCCAACCATTTTACCATTTTAATTCATATATAATATGGATGGATATCAATCAAATATATCAAACAATAATAATATTAAGTAATTAATAAAATATATCTATATGTTTATATCTTAAATATCGAAAAACATTTGGAACGACAAAAAAAATCATCTGATAAATTGCATTTTTAAATTAAAAAAAAAATATGTTAAATGTTACTTTTTTATTAAATTTAATAAAAGAACTGTTAACACGCCACAAACCCTATTTTTCAATCTCTCGTATAGTGATTAGCGAACAATTTTAAATTACCAAACGTTAACAACATCAAGTTGCAAAGATATAAGGATTAAGAAAAAGGGAGTTTTAGGCAAGTGCTGTTTAATTCCTAATTATACGTAAGAAAGTCGAGACTAAGCGTCCTTATGTTTTCAGAGACACCCTGTATAAAAAGGGCGTACTCAACTATGCGTCATAAATACGCACACCTGAACCCTAAACAGAGCAGACCTAGGGGATGGATGAATAAATGAATTTAATTGTTGTAGGTTGATAAAATTGATTAATGATGAACAAAGATTGTATGTTGATACGCCGACTTAATGAGTTCATAATTCAATAATTTTATGAATGGGCGGATTACATTTAAAGGGACTGTCAACGTAATTTCAAGGTTCACAACTTTAAATCTTCGTCTGAATAATATTGATGAAGATATCCTTGTTTTTTTATCTGAATATTTTTAATTTATAATTGTGGTTTCTGTCTATTTAAATGACTTGCAGATTTATGAAACAGAGACAAAGAAGACAATTTTCGGTTTGAAAAACGTCGAAATCTTTCTCATTGTTGCTCAGATAAAGGTTTAAAGGTGCCCTTGTGAATCAGACATGTACAGTCCCTTTAATAAATATTTTCTACCTCTAGTCTTCAACTCGCCCTCCAGCAGCGCCACCATCTCCTTCAACCTCTCCTCTTCCTTCGACATCTTCTCTTTCCTCTTCTTCTTCTTCTTCTTCTAATCTCCTGATTCTCTAATCTAGTGACTCACCTCAACCAATCATTCTGAAAACAGTTACAACTATTAGTCAATAAAATAAAAATATTTTAATATATAGATACCTAAGATTGTTCATGATTCTTATATTATGTTACAATTAATAATTATCTTCAATCTATACAATCCATAGGCAAAAGGAGAAGGTCAAATGTTGGTGTAATTACTGCTACTGCTTTGCAACCTCGTAGCTCCTCTAGTTTAGATTTTACGCCATAAGTATTTGGTTGCTCAGTAGAAAGTTTACACTTTACAGCCTTTTCAATGGCTCTTTTAAAAGAAAGGAGCTGTAATTGAAACCCTGTAATAGATAGATAATGTGTATTGCTAAAATACATGTATCTGTATACAGACCGAGTTTAAAATTACAAATTAATGATTATTTTAAAAGTACAAAAATTTTATCTAATGAAAAGCAGTTTATACATTTATTAGAATAACTAGAGTTTAAAATAATTTTCTGACATGTACACAACAAATATCAAAGCATATTAAAACATATCTAATTAGTTTTACATGAAAAGCTATTCGGTTTATAACACATTGTAAATGTAATGTAATTTTCAAAAAGAGAATTTAGTAGTCCATTTTTAAAAATACTTAAAGAACTGCTTCTTTTTCAGTCAAGAGGCAGTTTACTTTGAAGTGTTTCTTCCCCCATTCCCTAATTTCTGTCCATGAACTTTTCAAATATCAATGGTTTATTGAATTAACCAATATACAGTTGCATGCAATACACCTTGAATACAATATACACATGTAATCTAAAAAATGGAGATTCTGGTAAGTTGGAGAAGATTACATTGTAATCAAATATAACCTTTATCAGAAGAGCAAATATAAAACAAAGTATAAAGATGGGATTTGAAATCAATAAAGTTCAAATTGTCACTGTCAATGGCCTTAATATGGTTTTAAGCACTAACCCTTCTCAATGTATATCCACCCTTGTTTTTACTTTATATACCCCCTTTTCCAATTTTATATCCCCTTTCTCTAACTTTATATCCCCCCTTTCTCTAACTTTATACCCCCTTTCTCTCACTTTATATCCCCCTTTCTCTAACTTTATATCCCCCCTTTCTCTAACTTTATATCCCCCTTTCTCCAACTTTATATCCCCCCTTTCTCTAACTTTATATCCCCCTTTCTCTAACTTTATATCCCCCTTTCTCTAACTTTATATCCCCCTTTCTCTAACTTTATATCCCCCTTTCTCTAACTTTGTATCACCCCTTTCTCAATTTTATATCCCCCCTTTCTCTAACTTTGTATCACCCCTTTCTCAACTTTATATCCCCCTTCTCCCTCCTTCATGTTTGAATGTCTATTGTCTAGACAATGTATTTTTACAGAATCGAAACTTTTACATTTTTAATAATTTATTTATTGATCGATATTCCTGCATTTAGTTTAGGTAGTTTAGAGGGTCGGAAAGAAATTGAGTCTTTGTCACAAACTCTGATTTTCTTATCACTATATCTTTGCAACCCAATGGCGTAGACCATAGATTTTTCAACTATGAATTCTGTCAGATCAAATAGTCTAAGTTTGAAATATCAAAAGTTTCTGGCATCTGGTTGCGAAGATACAGGAAATGATTACTATAAAGTAAAAATCAGTCTTGATAAGAGATAAGATAAGGATGAATGAGATGCATGAAACGAATGAAGAAGCTAGGGCAGGAAGGATAAATGAGAGGCATAAAAAGAATGAAGAAGCTAAGACAGGAATGATGAATGAGAGGCATGAAAAGAATGAAGAAGCTAAGACAGGAAGGAAGAATGAGAGGCATGAAACGAATAAAGAAGCTAGGGCAGGAAGGATGAATGAGAGGCATAAAACAAATGAAGAAGCTAGGGCAGGAAGGATGAATAAGAGTCATAAAACGAATGAAGAAGGTAGGGCAGGAAAGATGAATAAGATGCATGAAACGAATGAAGAAGCAAGGGCAGGAAGGATTAATGAGAGGCATGAAACGAATGAAGAAGCTAGGGCAGGAAGGATGAATGAGAGGCATGAAACGAATGAAGAAGATAAGACAGGAAGGATGAATGAGAGACATAAAACGAAAAAAAAGATAGGACAGGAAGGATGAATGAGAGGCATGAAACGAATGAAGAATATAAGACTGGAAGGATTAATGAGAGGCATGAAACGAATGAAGAAGCAAGGGCAGGAAGGATGAATGAGAGACATGAAACGAATGAAGAAGATAAGACAGGAAGGATGAATGAGATGCATGAAACGAATGAAGAAGCTAGGGCAGGAAAGATGAATGAGTGGCATAAAAAGAATGAAGAAGCTAAGACAGGAAGGATGAATTAGAGGCATGAAACAAATGAAGAAGCTAGGACAGGAAGGATGAATGAGAGGCATGAAACGAATGAAGAAGCTAGGGCAGGAAGGATGAATGAGAGGCATAGCAAAAAGTCCGTAATTAAAATACATCATACGATAGACTCATTTATTTTTACTCAACCTGTACATAAACCGGATTCATTTTTACTCAACCTGTACATAAACCGGATTCATTTTTACTCAACCTGTACATAAACCGGATTCACTTTTACCCAATCTGTACATTAACCGGATTAAAGGATAATGATGAATGCTGATTGACGGATGAATAATATAGTTAGGTATAGATTATTTATTATCTAGATCAGACTGAGGTTCCCTTTATACAAATCTTATTCATGATAGTGTGCAAGGTTACTCACTTTATAATTATAAAGTAGAATTCAATAGATCTATCAATTCATTAATCAATTAATTTATTAATTTATCAATTAACTAATAAATTCATTAACCAATTAATTAATAAATTCAATAATCAATTAATTAATTAATTAATTAATCAATTCATTAATCATTTTTTGTAATCAATTCATAAATTAATTTATCATTAAATTCATTAATCACTTCATTAAACAATTCATTAATCAATTCGTTAAGCAATTCATCAATCAATTCAATAATCAATCTATAAATCAATTCAGTAATCAATTCAGTAATTAATTCAATAATCGATTAATTTTTCAATTCATTTATCAATTCATTAAACAATTCATTAATCAATTCGTTATTCAAATCATTTTCAATTCTTTAAGCAATTCATTAATCAATTCATTAATCCATTAATTTTTCAATTCTTTAATCAGTTGATTAATCAAATCATTTATAAATTCATTAATCAATTCGTTAATCAATTCATTACTCAATTCAGTAATCATATCAGAAATCAATACATTAATCGATTCATTAATCGATTCATTTTTCAATTCATTAATCAATCGATTAATCAATTCATTAATCAATTCATCTAACAGTTTATTAAATCCATCCACAGCCTCATCAAACTATTATGAATACATCCATCAATAAATCCAGCTCCTGGCTCAATGCGGAACAATGGGATTGTAGTTGTAAACGAAAAATACAAGAAACGAAGAATTAAACTATATATAAACTATATATAAACTATATATATAAACTATAAAGTATATTTCAATTGTTCATGTTTGTTCTATCTGATGGTTATGCAAAGAGAATCTTTAATAAATTCTCCTCCGCGAACGCATATAATTTCATGTCTGTGCTCTCTTTACAAATTAATCACGGTTCATCCACGGTTAATTCCCTTTTAATTTTTCACTACCTCTCCCTTTAAACGTGCAGATTTAAAATATATCAGTATTTATTAAATTTTTGAGATTTTTTCAGGAAGGGAGGGGGGTATTAGAAAAAAAATTATATATGGGGGGATATTAGAAAACTCGATATTAGGGAGGGATGGTGATTAGGAAACTAGAAAAGGGGGTTTCATGTGTCTTACCGAGTGTAGTTTTACTTAAATTAAAATATCTTTCACGTCTTTTCTGCATTAGAAAGTGTCAGACCCACAACTAAAAGTCTTTAAAAAATGAAATGAAATTTGAAAAGAATATCTGTTTTGGCAGATCTGTATATAGAGCAGCAACTCTATTAAAAACCGGTTTCCACCCCGTAAATGTAAAGTTAGCACTATAAAAATCATCAGATAATGATCTTATCATAAAATGTATAATATACAGGGTCGGATACAATGGGTCAGTATAGAAAGATAGATAGAACAGATCAATAATATGTACACGGATATATAAGAATAAGATACGCCTGGTGGGTTTCCAGGATATGTATCTTGTAATAGAAAGATGAGGACAGGTGGAAAATAATTTATGCGTTTGAAAAAGATGATACTCCTACAATTGGTTTAGAGGGATGCCCATTTTTATCTAGACTCCCTGTTTACATTTTATACAAGATAAGGTGATCATTACTAAACACCTATTTGCTGATGGCTTATTAAAATCCCTTTTTATAAAAAAAAATCCATTTTAAAAGTTAATGTTTATTGTGTTAAAGAGCTTTCTGAAATCCAATAGGAATTGGATTTATCAATTTTATCAATCTGGGTCAGGGGGGAAGTAAGGAAAGCTTGTCCATGAAACTAATTAATAATTCATCTACTCCCCCAACATTCAAGTGTAAACTCAAAAATATAAACTCAATGATGTAATCCCCCTACCCCCCCCCCATCCCCTTCCCCATAAACATAATGAACCCCGGTTGAATAAGGATAATAAACCCCCCGGGCCTGAAAATGATTATAATTAGTTGTATAACTGCAGATCTCTCTGTATCTAATAGAATTATAAATCTTTTACTAATTACATATTCAAGAGAGATGAGCTAAAACTGCAGGAGGTCCCATACACACTCACATTATATACCCAGGACTCAACACTCTACAGGGTTTACCATATACCCGGAGCAAGGTATCCGTCCCATACTCTTCATCACACCCGGACCAAGGGAGAGTATCCGTCCCAGGGTCTACCATATACCCGGAGCAGGGATAGTTTCCGTCCCAGGGTTCTGGCATACATGGAGCAATGGTATAATATTCGTCCCAGGGTTCTGGTATACCCGGAGAAAGGATTAGTATCCGTCCCAGGATTCTGGTATACACGGAGAAAGGATTAGTATCCGTCCCAGGGTCGACCATATATCCAGAGAAAGGATTAATATCCGTCCCAGTACCGGAGTAAGTATATGTTTTCAGTCCTTGGTCCTAGAATGTATTCGGAGCATTAGTTTAATAAAACTTCTTTAATAGTTAGAACCATGGTTCGACATTTAAAGCAACAATAACAGCCAGATAAATAATGTAACTAAGTAGATGGTGTCCTACATGAAGTGCCCTATCACCTAAACTGTTCCAACTTAATTATAATGTTTTATTGATAACATGTTTTTTAAAAGAATAGAGTAAGAAATCTCCAACAACAAAAACATCTGTTTCTTGACCCCGGGAGAAGTGTCACGATGGTAAAAACGTACATATCCAAAAATTAAGGTGTCGGAGCACAACTAAGCATTTTCTAATTCAGGTTTCCTAACCAACCCTTTCTCTGCAGTTCATCCTTGGCTTGGAAAATATTTTACACGTGTAGAAAACAAACCAATGCTCCTTTCGTGAATTTGTTGTGATGACAAAAAGCTTAACCAAAATACTTAAAGGAGAGGGTAAGGTTTGGTGCAGGGTAAATGTATTGTATTTGTGTGTTTCACGGGGGAGAGATAGATGCACAGCTTGAAAATATCTTTACTTTTATTTCAATTTCACGGTCTGCATCCTACATATATAACAGAAACATCTGAAAACATTTCCAGTAGCAGATTTAGTACTATATAAGATGCAGAGGGGAGGGAAAGATAGTTGTAAAATGCGCAATTTAATCTTAACCGAAAATGTGCCAACTATGTACCTTGAGCAAAAAAAATTGAAAATAACCAACCCAGGTGTCATAAACTCTAGAACTGCTTATGGAATACATGTTTTTAATTTGAATTAGTGCGAATGTTTTCTTCATTTGGCAGTCGTCGAGCTCTTTGTAGAAATATAACAGATGAGTTTTAAGTTTTTAGTATAACAAATACAATTGTATAATTGCAGTGCAGATATTTGAATAAAAGGTTTTTTTCTTTTCTAAAATTTCATAAATACATTTCTGTTTTTATTTGTAATTTTTACCGAATTCAAATAATTAGAGGGTTTTCGGAATGTTTAACTTCAGAGTCACTTTTAAATTTCCAATGTTGATATACATATGTTTCCCTCATTCTCATGAACAAACTGTTATTTACAATAAGCAACTAATTACTAGTATAACTATTACTAGAATATTGTTTGCGCAAACTTAAAGAAAAACTGTAGAGGCTCCTCTAGGTGCAGGATGGAGGCAGCACGGTGGGCTGTACTATACTGACTATACGGAGTAAACGTTAGAAACCTAGAACATAAAATACTACAATTATTCGGAACTCATGGGGTTCCAGACACGGAGATACATTCATACTCAATATCCATCCGGTAGCAGGAGATATTTGTGAAATAAACCAAGTTTTAATAGGGTAATTTTAATAATGGGGTCCCATGGGATATTTTTAAAATTATCGGAGATTTAGTGCCAAAAAAACTTTGCCGGTTTTAAAACAAGAAAGATTTTATAAATTTTCTTATTTAACCCTTAAAAACAAAATAATAATGAAGTCCTTGAGAAAAATGATTTTTATATTTGTAATTGTTGTAAAGATTCAATTTTTTTAATCTTAGGGAAAGAAATATAGTTTGTTTAAAAGGACAAGGAGAGAGGGAAAAAATTAAATCAATATTTATTTCGTGAAGAGGATCTAACGTAAATTTAATTACTGTCAACAACTTTTGTTTTGTTGAAAACAAAAAAGTTTCTAACTTGTTGGTAAAGTGTTTTTAAACATCATTTGAGATGAAAACTTTTGTATTGTTAAGCCTTAAAGAAATCTCTAATCTTTTATGGTCGGAGGATTTACTAGCAAAGACGGAAACGCAAAAATACGAGATTAAGCACTTAATCGTTTCAAATAAAAAGTTTCCATGTAAATAACAAAGTTCCGACTTTTGTATTATGAGATCAAGGAGAAGTAAGGGATTATGAGATCAAGGGTAAATGAGGGATTATGAGATCAAGGGGAACTAAGGGATTATAAGATCAAGGGTAACTACGGGATTAT